AGGTCGGGAAGAATGTTTTCTGGAAGTGCTTCTCCCTCTGGGATTTGTCACTGGCGACTTTGGTTGCGGATTAATATGGCACAGAGAAGAAGGGTGGACAATGGAGCCACAACCAGAACAAGGTGAGGGCTTCCAGTCGTATATAACTTTCAAGGAGACATCATCCCCGTCCATCGAAATCGGGATTTCATCTGGTAAAGAGGATGCACTGGAAACCATGACGCATACCCGAGCAAAGGTTAATCTAGTTTTCCGAGCAGTAAGGGCATCCACCGCAAGAGGATGGCCAACATAGCTAGCAATTTTCGAAATACCAGTGGGGTTCCACACGGCCAAAGGCAAATCAACAATTTTAATCCACAGAGGGATAGAGGTAAACTCATCTCAGGTAGGCTTGAATTTAGGCGTCCATTGCTGCAAGATGAACAGTCTGTCGAAGAAGAACCACGGGCCTCCAGTCCATGCAAGCTGGTAGTCTTCGGGGGAAGCAAACTTGAACAAGAAGAATCCATCGTTAAGAGACAGCAGCTCCAGAGATCCTTTGGGATTCCAAGCCTTCTTAGCGACGTTAAGAAGACTCATGTAGGTCGGTCTTGGGCCGATGGAGTAGCCCACAAGGCAAGACCCCCAATTGGGAACCCCAAGGGCCAAATCATCAGCCGAGAAAGGTATTTTCTTTGAAGGCGGAACAAAGGAAACATAGAACTCTCCGGCAACCGGGTCCTTTTTGGTAAGGTTAGAGAGGAAGTTCAAACCTCCAAGAATGGACAGAGAAGGGGGAAGAGCCCGAGCAACGCCAGGAAGAGGAGGAAAGTTAGCACAATAGGAAGAAGAGGAAGCCATAGAAGCGGTGGGGGAGGGGAAAAGCCCCCCCCCCAGAAGGTGGCGGCACGGAGAAGAAGAAGGAAATGGCGGGGAGGTGCTAGAGGATAAAACCCGAGCAGAGCGCTGCTTTTTTGTCAAATATATAGTTATTGTTTATTTTTTTTTAAATGGGAATCAAATACTACATCTTGACTCTACCAAAAAATAGAAGTTATTAATCAATGTGATCCATATATGCTACTGAGCATGCAAGTTTAAAGTTAGATACACATTGTGTAAGGAAATGAAGGCTTCGTTTGAGATAACTTATTTGTTGCTATCTAAAACGGTTTTCTAGTACAAAAATTTTTTGAATTATAAATTTTTGTATTAAAAAGTAGTTTTATAAAGTAGCAAAAAAACTATCCCAAACAAAGCCGAAGTTTAGTGCAAAGGACGGTTGCCTCCATATTTGAGTTTTTTTTTTTTTTTCTCAATAACTTTTATTTCCTTTCTCAAAGAGCACCATTCTTTTAACCTATCATATCTCATTGTAAAAATATTGTAAAAATTAACTATAGCTATTATATTCTTTTTGTTAAAGTGTAGTTAAATAGTTACATTTTAATTTTTAAAGAACCTTGTGTTTTATTCGTGGGGATTACGGGTATGAATGAGTCGAGTCTAATCAAGTATCTGCCTAATCAAGCTCGTGGCTCTATAAGCTCAAACTTGATATAGGATCGGGCTCAAACTCGTGGCTCAATAAGCTCACATTGTTAGCTCATAAACAAGTCTAGTACAAGGCAGCTTGCGAGCCAACTTAGCTCACTGACATCCATAATAGGGATAAAATCTTTCAATCATATTATTGACATGTATTTTGTATAAAAAAAAGTTTATGCTTTATCTTTAATTCCCTGGCTAAAATGTTCCAAAGTATAATTCAAAGATTCTTAGCCAAAAATTAATTCAATTCTTAGGCTTTTATATATCCCTCACTTTGAGGAATAAAGGGTAGAATATGATAAATAGATTAAAAGGAAATGATCATAAGGTACAATATATTTTAAAAATAATCTGATTAATTAGTTAAAGTTTATAGTATAATTAGTTGCACCTTTTTTAAAAATAGGAATAAAAATATATTTTAATTAGTCATAATTTCCATATTTTATTAAATGATTAATTATTAATTATATAATTTAAATATTTATCATTAAATATAATTATATGTTAATAATTTTTTGTTTAAATATATAAATAAAAATTAATGTTTAATCACATTATTAATAAAATCTGTGATTATTTCTCTAGATTATAGATGCTAACCCTATTAAGAAAATTTTTTTCTTAGTCTTCTCGTTGGCCAGTTTTTTTTTTTTAAATAATTTTAAGAAAAAAAATTAAATACAATTTATTTTTGATATCTGTTATTTATTTTTAATGATTTTAAATTTGGTATTGTAATTTTGATGAAACTTATTTTAAAAAATTCCTAAAAACATTATATGTATTTAAAAATTAAATATTTTCAATAACTTCATGTTAAAAATATAATAAATATTTTATTATTTTTAATACATAATATTTAAATAAACAGCATAATTTATACAATAAAGAATATTTTCAATAACTACATGACTAGCTAAAAATTCATGGAAATTACCAATAAAAATTCTATTTATGTACTAATTTGCTCCGATTTTTTTAAATTTAGTCTAATATTAAAAATATTTTAATGTGAGTAAATCTTTATTTCCAGACATAATTTTTTAATTTGGACTTAATTAATAATTTTAGTTAGATTTGTGAAAAGAGATGAATATTTGTTTAATTGAACTCAAAGTTTTATCTTATTTTTATAAACTTGTGACTAACGCTTTGTTTGGGGCATTTTAAAATTTTCTATTTCTATTTTTAAAAGCTCCTTTTTCAATAACAATTTCAAAAAGATAAATTAAAATTTCATTTGGGACAACTTTCTTACTGTTTCTTAATTAAGTAGTAAGAAAGCTGCCACAAATGAAGCCTAAGGCTGCATTTGAGAAAACTTTATTTCTATTTTTTTTTTTTCGAGCAACAATTATAATTTTTATTTGGTTAGTAATTCTATTATTTTCAATAAATTTTTGTACCACGAAGTTGCTTTCTATAACAGTTTTTTTCGCAACAATTTTATAACTACCTTTATTAAAAACTGCAGCAATCCCTAACGGGAGAAATTATTATGTGCGGTCACCGGACGGTTTAGAAGCGAATCAAGATGTGCCACATCACCTAGAATACAATAAAAAAAATGACGTGACGCTTCCTAATTCACTTTTGGACGCCGTACGGCGACCGCACAGAATAATTTCTCCCCAAACGTACCCTAAGAGTGTCTTTGTGGCAAATTTTTCACTATTTGCTTTTTAGACTTCAACTACAAATCCATTTGGTTGCTAAAAATTTTTATAATAAGGGAGCTATTTTTTATACCATATTTGCTAATATATGGTAGCCATAGGAAATTTAACGGTTCATATTTTTAAAAATGAACAGCTTTTTAATATTCACAATAACTTTCATAAAAATTATTTTCCTTACAACAAATTTATAATTACTTCTAGAATATATTATGACCATCCCAAACAGAATTCTAGTTTTAATAGGACACAATGAAGAAAAAAGATTCATGTAGCCGATCCCACGTAGTGGAATAAAGACTTGATGTTGTTGTTGTTGTTGTTGTTGAGAGATGGACCAGAGATTAGTTATTTATGTCTTCCAAATCAAAATTCTTCTTTTCATGTTAATTAAGAATCAATATGATTACCACTAATAGGGCAATGAACAAATTTAGAGGGTGAAGAAATAAAGAGAGAATGCAAAGCATCCGAAGAAGAATTAGATTCCCCCTTTAATCACTCGTTTTTTTTTTTTTTTCAACTTAGAAACCAAATCTGTAAGATTTACCTGTTCCAATTACCTGTAACACCAATTAGGTCATCTCCAACTAAAAATCCATTTTCCAGTCCATAATGTAACAAAACTTTAAAATATAGTAGTTTATCTCCAATCGAATGGTATTTTCTCTCTTATTTCGCGCACTTCTTGTGAATGTAAGCATTTTCTCCTCTTTCGAGCACTTATTCCGCAAATCCGTAGGCAATTTTTTTTATGGAGGTGAACAATATGACGCCAATATTGACGTCGCACTGTTCACATGCTGAACTTTGACGTGAGATTTGGAGTTCAAATAGGCCAAATGGCCAACGGCATATGGTGGTATACATTTCAGTTGGAGATGATCTTACATTGGCTTCTTGCGAATGTAACCATTCTCTCCTCATTCGCGCGCTTTTTTGGCAAATCTGTAGGCAATTTTTTAACGGAGGTGAACAGTCCGACGCCGATATTGACGTCACACTGTTATAGTATAATTAGATGCACCTTTTTTAAAAATAGGAGTAAAAATATATTATAATTAGTCATAATTTTCATATTTTATCAAATGTATAACTTTTGATTATATAATCTAAATACTTATCATTAAATATAATTATATGTTATTTTTTTTGTTTAAATATATAACTAAAAATTAATGTTTAATCACTTTATTAATAAAATCTGTGATTATTTCTCTAGATTATATATGCTAACCCTATTAAGAAAAAAATTTTCTTAGTCTTCTCGTTGGCTAAGAAAAAAAATTAAATGCAATTTAATTTTGATATTTGTTATTTATTTCTTGAGAATGTAACCATTTTCTCCTCTTTCGTGAGCTTATTCAGCAAATCCGTAGGCAATTTTTTGACGGAAGTGAGCAGTCCGATGCCAATATTTGTAGAAACTCATGAGCCGTTCAATAGCTCCAAGAACACAAAGAAGAAGACAATGAACAGTGAAATTAAAGTATATTATTTGTTGCCCTTTACAGTACAACCTAACCTATATTTATAGCATAGGGTGCCAGACCCTTTACACGTGTAATGAATTTATAGGCTAACAAGGCACTTAAGTAATAACAGAGATTATATATTAATCTGTTCTAACATTCCCCCTCAAGCTGACAATTGGGTTGAATTATCAGTTTGGATCGGAGTCTTAAAGCGAGGAGTAACCAACAGTTTGGTAAGAATATCTGCAATTTGATCGATGGTGCTGATGGGAAGAAGACGAATGGTGTCGGTTTGAATATGATCCCGAATAAATCATTGATCGATCTCTATATGCTTTGTTCTGGCATGAAAAACCGGATTGTTTGCTAAAGCAATGGTGGAGGTGTTATCGCAGTAAATATCCATGGGATGAGAATGAGCAATGCGAAAGTCGACGAGAAGCTTTTTGAGCCAGATAGTATCGGCGGTTGCCAAAGCCAGTGCACGGTATTCTGATTCGGTGGAAGAGCGAGACACCGTGGACTGTTTCTTAACAGTCCACGAAACCAGAGTATCGCCTAAGAAGGAGCAGAACCCAGAAGTAGACTTTCTCGTGACTGGATCTGACGCCCAGTCGGCGTCTGAGTATGTTCGGAGCAGCAAATTTGATCGTGTAATCGGAAGACCGAACTCCATTGTGCCTTTAATGTACCGAATAAATTTCCTTAACATAACTGTATGAGAGGGTGCTGGATCATGCATATGCTGAGATAGAGCATTGACCGCGAATGCGATGTCTGGACGCGTCAAGGTAAGGTATTGAAGAGATCCTATGATTTTCCGGTAAGACAAGGCATTGAAGCATGGTTTATCATCGGCCATCTGTACAGAAAGTTTTGTTACAGAAGGGTTAGCGACCGAGTTGCATTTTTTGCAACTCGGCAAGTTGAACAATGGAGTTAGCGTAAAGGCTTTGAGAGAGGAAGAACTTATCTGGTGAAGATACAATCTTGATTCCTAGGAAATGATTTGCTGGACCGAGGAGCTTCATTGTGAATTTGAACCGCAATTGGTTGACGAGTGCGGAAATGGCAGAGTTATCGTTACCGGTTAATAAGATATCGTCCACGTACACAAGGAGGTATAGCTGCGTGTTATCGCGATGTAGAAATAGTAGTGAGGGGTCTGCCTGGCTGTGAGAGAACCCGAGTTGAAGAAGGTAGGAAGTGAATGTAGTGTACCATTGCCGTGGAGCTCTGATACCATGTAGAAACTCATGAGCCGTTCAATAGCTCCAAGAACACAAAGAAGAAGACAATGAACAGTGAAATTAAAGTATATTATTTGTTGCCCTTTACAGTACAACCTAACCTATATTTATAGCATAAGGTGCCAGACCCTTTACACGTGTAATGAATTTATAGGCTAACAAGACACTTAAGTAATAACAGAGATTATATATTAATATGTTCTAACAATATTGATGTTGCACTATTCACATGCTGAACTTTGACGTGAGATTTGGAGTTCAAATAGGCCAAATGGCTGACGTCATATGGTGATATACATTTCAATTGGAGATGATCTTACACTGGCTTCTTGCTAATGTAACTATTTTCTCCTCTTTCGTGCGCTTCTTCGGCAAATCCGTAGGCAATTTTTTGACTGAGGTGAACAGTCTGACGCCAATATTAACGTCGCACTGTTCACATGCTGAACTTTGACGTGAGATTTGGAGTTAAAATAGGCCAAATGGCCGACGATATATGGTGTTATACATTTCAGTTGGAGATGATCTTACACTAGCTTCTTGAGAATGTAACTATTTTCTCCTCTTTCGCGCACTTCTTCAGCAAATCCGTAGGCAATTTTTTGACAGAGGTGAACAGTTCAATGTCAATATTGACGTCGCATTATTCACATGCTGAACTTTGACGTAAGCTTTGGAGTTCAAATTAGCCAAATGGCCGACAGCGTGTAATGATATACATTTCAGTTGAAGATGATCTTACAGTGCACACATAAAAGTTCCTGCTGGAGTTTGAGAGGGCATAATGGATCCGTATAGATTGAACGACTGAGATAGGAATGTTTTGTTGCAGCTGGACGATGATGATTGCTGGAACAGTGAAAGCGGCGGCAATGATAGCAGAGGTTTATTAAGACAGCAAGAGGCTGTCACCTATCATCATCTCTCTCCACAAAGTGATTATGCAGAAGCTAGATGTTGGGAGAGCCATGGGAGATTATCGGCTAATTGGTCTTCTTTTTCTGTCATGACATGAAGGATCGGATTCTGGAGATGCTTCATGTTGAGGAAATCGTTGGTGAGGAGGTTGGAATTCGAAGTTCCTGACTTAATATGCGCAGTCATTTGAATTATACCTATTGTTTTAAAATATTTAAACTAAATAATTTCGAGTTGGCTAGCGAGCTCATGAGCCGAGCCTTGTCAAGCTCGAACTCGAGCTCATGGCTCGATAAGCTCGGCTCGCGAGCTCATAAACAAGTCGAGCTCGAGCCACTTACACCCCTAGGTGATTCCATGAGCTGAGGAGATGTGTTGGTGGGTGTAGAAATTTGTTCAGGTAAGGCACGAGATGCAAGTAGCGGAGAAAATGTGTTATTGATGTAGTTTCTGGATTTTTTGAAGAGAGAGCATATGGAAATACTTGTTCATTGAACAGCACATGCTGAAAGATTAGAAGCTTGCCGGCGTTCGACTCAGGCTTCGTTCAGGACAGTTTTTTTGTTGTTTCTAAAACAGCTTTTTAGTACAAAAATTTCTTAGAAATTTTTATACTCAAAAGCTGATTTAGAAAGCAACAAAAAAGTTGTTTCAAACAAAACCTTAAACAATTCAGCCTTTTTGAGAGACAGCATAGCTAAGAAATTTGAGCTGTGGGGGCAATTGTCCTCTTCAGGAATACAAATAATTGAAGAGATAGAAGGATCCATGACGACTAAGGGAAGATGGATGAAGAGAATCGGATTGGAAAGAATAAAAAGACAATACTGTTAAGCATTCGCCTCTAATACCATTCGAATTCTCTGGAACAGAGAAATGAAAATCTGAGAAGAGAGGAAGAAGAGTAATGCAGGTATTATAAACTATTTCATTTCAAACAACCGATTACAATAGTTGTTTGCATATATATAAGGGCATTTCCAACTGAAAATCCCATTTTTCACTCCAAACTGCAATTAAACTCAAAAATATCAAGATTCATCTCCAATCGAACTCTATTTTGAAGGTAACCGTCTTTCTCCTCTTTCGCGCATTTTTTCGGCAAATCCAGTTGAGACAAAAAAATCGCGTAGGTGAACAGTGCAACGCAAATATTAGCGTCACACTGTTCACCCTCCACCGATTAGCGATTTTTTTGCCGTTCGAATGGAGCAAACCAGCTACGCCTTACAGTCGTTTGGAGTTCAGCTAGAGACGCCCTAAATGTATCTACTGAAGTTTGATACGATCAGTAAATATTGAATAGCTGAGATGCAAAGGTTTTTTAAGGCCGGATGGCGAAGATTGCTGGAATAGGTGAAATGCTAGCAACGATGGCAAAGCTTGATCAAGGCCTCATATGGCTGTGATCCGTTGTCACTCTCAAGGAATCATATAATCCAAATTTAGATTAGGACTTCTATGATTAAGCATAAACACTAAATTATGAAGCTTTATCACCTTATAATTAGTATTTCAAGCTGTCTAATTAGCATTGCAATCAGATATCTTTCTTCGAGAGAAAACAATAAAAGAATATAATAAGGTTTTGTCACCAAATTACTATCAAAGAAATTATTATGTGCGGACACCGTACCATTCAAAGGCGAATTAGAGGACGCCACATCACCTGAAACACAACACCTGAGTGACATGGCGCGCTTTGATTCGCCTCTGGACGTGTAGGGTGTCCGCATAGAATAATTTCACAAACTACACAAATATGAATTCATATGAAAACATATGCAGATGAGATGTAGAACTTCTAAACTTAAGTACAAACTTATTTTGAATATATATTCAATCAAATACAATAACGTCAAATATCACAATAAAAAGATTATTTTTGAAACATTAAATCGATCAAGAGAGCTTTTACACACATAGAAAGCAAACAACACAATTCACTTCACAAAAAACCTTTCTCCATCATGCATACTTGAAAGCAAATAGGATATATCAATCACACAAGCAATAAGAACCATAAGACCACACTTATGCATAACTCCAAGCGATTATATTTTAGGAATATATAATCTGTTCATGAAAACTTTACCAACTAAACTTCTGTTACCAGATCAAGATGATTCCTTGAGCTTCTTAGCAATGGTTGCGAAGTATTTACCCTGGTGGAAAGCTTGCTCCAGTTCTACCTCTGTTGGAAATCTGGATCCATCGCCGGCTAATGTGCCGGCACCATATGGACTTCCTCCCTTCACTTTCTCCATCTCGAACATACCGGCGCCAAAGGTGTAGCCGATGGGAACAAAGATCATTCCATGGTGAACCAATTGAGTGATTGCTGTCAATCTATAATAAACGGTAACAGAAATACACAATGATAAAAATGAAGATTTGAATAATAGCTTCAATCTTTTTTTTATTGAGTAAACAGAACATATAACATCATATAGTATTCGATTTAAATAGGTTATAATCATCCTATCTACACCAACTAAATACATATTAAATAATTAAAGAGAATCTTTATAAAATAAGTAAACTAATTAAATAATTACAGTTAAAGCATTTATTTCTTTTCAAATAGGATTACAGAATACATCTTACGTAGAATACTAGAAGATGCTGCCAACTGAGATTCTCTCATTAAGGCTTCGTTGGGGGCGGCTTCTTTACTGTTTTTTAAATCAATTTTTAGTATAAAAATTTTAATTTTTGTACTAAAAATTTGTTTTAAGAAGCAATAAAAAAACCGTCCTAAAAGAAGCCTAAATTACAAGAAGATAAATAGAGCTATTGGGAGAAAAGAACAAGGACTTACGGAGTAGTCTCTTGTCCGCCACCTTGTGATCCAGTGCTGTAGAAGATACCAGCAGGCTTACCTGCAAGCTGCTGTGTTCTCCAGAGCCCACCAGTTGCATCGAGAAAAGCTTTGAACTGAGCTGCCATCATACCAAATCTTGTCGGGAAACCAAGTAGGAGCCCATCAGCCTCAGAAAGCTGATCAGTCGAGATGATTGGTACATCACTCTTAGGAGGTGCACTCATCTTTGACAGCACCTCTTCAGGAAGTGTTTCAGGTACCTGTACTCATCATTAGCACCTCTTCAGGAAGTGTTTCAGGTACCTGTACTCATCATTTGAGATTCAAATTAATTTAACAGGGAAAAAAATGTTAATTTTCAATTGAGATAGAAGAAATGGACGTCGCCGAGCCGAAGGGCAGAAGTTCTGTACGTGATCGCAGTATGTCACATCATTTCGTCCTCGCAGCATCGAAGAGTATCTATGCACTATGTTCTAGTTCACTTATAAGGAAGATATAGTTGGGGTGAAAGTCTCTAGTATGACCCGGGGAGAAAGATGCGCAACTCAAAATGGAAGCATGCATTTATTTAAAAAATTTCGGGGGCTACAGATCTCTGATACTACCATCGATCCGACAGAGCGGAGTTAGAAAGCCGTATGATAGGTGGAAACTATCTTGTATGGTTCGTGGGGTAATCGGTGTACTCGATCAGTGGAGGAATCTTTGGCTCTATCGAACATACAGGGAATTGGAGGTAGCATTCCACCGATGTCAAGTCATGGACTGGTTCCTCCAGCCCTCTTTCTGTGTTGATGTTCTACATGACCGACATCATATGATGAATTTGATGACGCAGTAATTTATAACATTAAAACAATGAACATCTGAAATTAATAATAGAGATAAAAACCATATGAAATTTGTCATAGGCAGGTCAAAAGTAAGAAATAAGAACGATATCTAGCTCTAACAATAAACTTCAGCGATTTGGTTAAGCGACTAGCACTTTCTAAGCCGTAATACATATTTACAGAAAGTGAAATGTTTTTCAGAGCCCTTTCGGTGATGTGTAATCTCTTCAAGCTACCATTGTATCAAAAGCAGCAAGCTTTTGTTAAGTTGTGGAGCTTAATTAAAATCTTATTCTAATTAGGATCGCAAATTCCATTATCATAACAAATGCAATAATAAATAAAAATTTAGTGTTTTGTTCCACTTTATTCATTCTCAGCTATTTGAGTTAGATATCACCTGATTCCAAACAAATTTAAAATTTTTAAGCTACTTAAGGCCAACTTAATGACAGATTTGGAAAACAAGAAGAAGAAGAAGATTTGGAAAAAGGAAAAATGAACATATCATTAATTAAGAGTTAGGTCCTATAAATAGAGACCGGTACACGAGACAACCGAAATTACAGAAATGACATATTTACATAGCAGGTGCTGAGATAACCTGTAAGTCACGACTAGTTACTTAACATCCCCCCTCAAATTAACCATTTTATGAGCAAATGGTTAATTTGGAACAAAGGTAATTAAATCTATTAACTGGTAGTGACTTAGTTAAGATGTCCGCTATTTGATCGGAGGAGCAAATATGAGCAATCGTGATGTTGCCGTGAGTTATGTGATGCCGAATGAAGTGATGATCAATCTCAATGTGTTTTGTTCGTGCGTGAAGAACAGGGTTGTTAGCGAGCGCGATAGCCGAGGTGTTGTCACAATGAATGGTTGTCGCACTGGCTTGCGGGATGGAGAAGTCAAGTGCTAGTCGTCTAAGCCACAGAACCTCCATAATTGCCGCAGCTAGCGACCTGTATTCAGCTTCTGTAGAGGAGCGAGCTACCGTCGTTTGTTTCTTGACTGACCACGAGATGAGAGTGGATCCTAAGAATGTACAGAAGCCTGAGATGGACTTCCGCTCAGCTGGGTCAGCCGCCCAATCTGCGTCCGAGTAGCTGCGAAGAAGCAAGGACCTGCGGGTGATAGGTAGGCCGAATGCCGCAGTTCCCTTGATATATCGGAGAAGACGTTTCAGAGCAAGGTAATCGCAATTCCTCGGTTGATGCATATGCTGGCAAATGGAATTAATGGCAAATGAAATATCCGGTCTAGTGATGGAAAGGTACTGAAGTGATCCAGCTAGCTTCCGAAACAGGCACGGATCAGCGAACACCGTCTCGTCAGGGGGTGTCTTTGATTTCGGACTTGCTGGAGATGTAGCTGGCTTGCAATTGGAGAATCCTGCAGTAGAAATAAGATCATTTGCGTAGTGTGTTTGATTTAGAAAGTAACCATAAGTGGTTTTGATCACCTGAATACCGAGGAATAACGAGACATCCCCGAGTTGTTTGAGATTGAACTGAGACTTAAGGTGACTGAGTGTCCGCTGTATTTGAGACGAGTCATTCCCGGTGACAAGGATATCGTCAACATAAATGAGGACGAAAACACGAGCGTTGGACTGATGGAAGAGAAGGAGAGATGGGTCGGATTGGCTGAAGGTGAAGCCGATTTGTTGAAGCGAGTGAGTCAATTTGTGAAACCATTGTCGAGGTGATTGCTTAAGACCGTAAATGGATTTCCGCAATTTGCACACATACTGCGGGTGTTGGCTGTCTAGGAAACCCCTTGGCTGCTTCATGTAGACTTGGTCAGCTAGATCTCCGTGTAGAAACGCGTTAGCGACGTCAAGTTGGGTGACCGGCCAACCGTGATGCAGTGCTACAGTTAGTAACATACGAATGGTGGTCATCTTAGCCACTGGGCTGAAAGTTTCGGTGAAATTTATTCCTTGTTCTTGCGAATAGCCTTGAGCCACTAGGCGTGCCTTGTACCCAGATATATGTCCGTTGGGTAGAGTCTTGATCTTGTAAGTCCATTTGCTACCTAGAATGGGCTTGTTGATAGGTGCAGGAACCAAAGTCCAAGTGCCAAGTTGTTGAAGTGTCGAGAATTCAGCAGACATCGCCAACCTCCATTCTGGGAATTTTGATGCTTCCGTGTACGACGTCGGTGGCTGAGGGGAGCATTGTGTTACAGAGAGATCAAAAATTCTTTTGGGCATAGAGATACCTGAGCGAAGGCGTGTTTGCATTGGATGGCCAGTGGGTATGTGTTGGGGAAGGGTGACCTCCTTGATTGGCTCAGGACTTATGCTGGGCTGAGGATTTTGTCTAACTTCCTGAGTTGAATTTGCGGGAGGTATGGAAGATGTCACAATGGGCAACGGGTTTGCAACCGAAGTGGGAATCAGAAGAAGCGGAGACCAGGACTGTGGTGTATGACGCGTAGAATTTATGTTCGTCTCGGGTTGAACAGAGAACTGATAGGGAAAAACATATTCATGAAATGTGACGTGTCTGGAGATGTATATGCGATTTTGTTGTTGATCCCAGCATCTATAGCCTTTGTGTTGGGTGGAATAGCCCAGAAAAACGCAAGCCTTGGACCGTGGTGATAGCTTGTCCGAGGCATACGGTTTGGTCCACGGAAAACATAGGCACCCGAAAGTCCTAAGATGACCATAGGAAGCTTGTTGCCCGTGAAGACGAAAGTACGGAGTTTGATCCTGAATGGGTGATGCCGGTAGTCTGTTTATCAGGTAATTAGCAGTAGAGACTGCTTCCGCCCATAGTGTCGGAGGTAGACTGGCGGCATGAAGTAGAGTGCGGGTGAGTTCGATCAGATGGCGATGCTTGCGTTCGGCTGTTCCATTTTGTTCCGGCGTGTGCGGACAGCTTAGTTGATGAATGGTTCCCTGCTGTAATAGGTAATGGCGAAATGCATTGCTGGTAAATTCACCTCCACCGTCGGATCTGAAATACTGAATAGATTTTTGAAAAACATTTTTAACCATGTTATTAAATTGTTGATACTTATTGAAAACTTCGTCCTTAGTGCGAATCAAATACAACCAGGTAAAATGTGTGAATTCATCAATGAAGATTACATAGTAACGGAAACCATTCAGAGAGGGTACCGGAGACGGTCCCCAAACGTCCAAGTGGACAAGTTGAAAAGGTTTATTATAGTTCGAATTACACACAGCAAACGGTTGTTTATGGCATTTGGACAAACTACAAGAAATGCAAATAGACGAAGAATTGGAAACATGTATATCAGTAACAATTTTGGCTAGTTTAGACATAGTTCTGTCGTTCGGGTGACCGACTCGTGCGTGACAAGAGAAGGTGGGAGCGCGACCGGAAGCGAGGGCAGTGTGGTTACGGCTGGTAGGAGCCAGTAGACGGTAGAGACCATGGCGCTTGTGTCCCCAAAGTAGAAGACGATTGTCCTGGAGATCCTTCACAGTAAATTCGTTAGCATTAAAAGAAACCGAAACGTTATTATCCTCTGTTAATTTAGCTACGGATAGAAGATTATGTGATATAGAGGGGACATGAAAAATTTTTCGTAGATGAAGCTTACGGTGAGAATCTGGCAGCGGAAGTATCCCTTGACCCGAGTGTTGGATTGGGATAGAGCTTCCGTTTGTGACAGACACAGAATCCATACCATTGTAGATCGACGGATTGTGAAGGTTGGTGAGGTCAGATGTGAGATGAGAAGAAGCTCCTGAGTCGACAATCCATTCATTCAGAGGAGAGGGCTGTTGTGGCTGTTGCTGAACGGTTAGGGCCCTGGGGTTGGTCGGTGGCGCGTAGGTGAGGTTACACCGATGCCAGCAATTTATGGCGGAGTGACCTTGCTTACCGCAGATTTGGCACATTGGCCTGTTGGACGGAGTTCTTGGAGCGGACGAGTTGTCGCTTGAGGTCTGCTGGCGCGGGAACGGAAATTTCCCCCTGTTCTTGGAATTCTTGGAGCGATAGTTGGTGTTTCTGCTACTAAACAGAGCGGAGGTGTCCGATTGTTGGAGTTCTTGGCTTTGCTGATGATGAAGATTGATCTCTTCGCTGCAGAGAAGGGAATAGAGATCGTCTAAACTGATTGGTTGAAGAGAGGTTCTAATAGCAGTCTTGAATGAGTTGTATATGGCCGGCAGGCCATTCAAGATGTAAAGCACGATATCCTCCGTATCCACCGTTGAACCAGCCGCTGCGATGCTATCTACTATCTTCTTGACATGATCAAGATATTGAGCCATTGTTCGATCTTTTAATTGAATCTGGTGTAGCTCATTTTTCAGTTGTATGACCCTCGAGCGATTTGTTGGTTGTAGTCTTCGTTCGAGTGTTTGCCAAACTTCGCGTGCAGACTGAAGGTTCAACACATACGGTAGTATAGATGCGGAGAGGGTGGAGAAGATCGCTGAAACGAGATTTCTATCTATCAGCTTCCAGCGGGCGTACTCAGCGGTGTCATCTTCTTGAGGAACAGTTGCCGAACCAAGCAGATGTTCCTCATACCCATTTGCTGAGATGTGTTGAAGCAGTTGTAGCCTCCAAATCGAATAGTTTTCTGCTGTAAGTTGAGTAGGAACCAGATTTTTGGTGTTGGAAATCAAGAACTTAAGTTGAGCGGGAATGCTGGTTTCTTTGTCCGTAGATGAGGTCTGGGAGATGCTTCGGCGAGAGAGGGCGGAGTCGGCGTCCGCCATTGATGCTGGAGAGAAGAAGACGATGTCGAAAGAAAAACGAAGAATCAAGATTCCATCGGGAGGAAGACGCTGTGGAGCTTTGATGGCTCTGATACCATGACAGATTTGGAAAACAAGAAGAAGAAGAAGATTTGGAAAAAGCAAAAATGAACATATCATTAATTAAGAGTTAGGTCCTATAAATAGAGACCGGTACACGAGACAACCAAAATTACAGAAATGACATATTTACATAGCAGGTGCTGAGATAACCTGTAAGTCATGACTAGTTACTTAACACTTAAATTATATCAACAGCTTCTATAAGCTCAATTTGCCAAATGTAACAATAAGCAAGAGAGGAATCGGAGCCCTAGCCTGGTATCTAACCTTCTGTGGTTAAATGAGATGTAACTAGACAGAAAGTTCAAATGAGAGGGCCGGGCATTTTTATAAATGAATGGTCTAGGAACAGATTTAAATATTTCAGTTCTGAGTTAAGAGTGGCAGAGTTAGGCTTTGTTCAAGACAGCTTTCATACTGCTTTTTAAAACGGTTTTTTAATACAAAAATTTCAAATTCAAAAAAAATTTGTACTGAAAAACTGTTTTAGAAAGCAAGAAGAAAGTCATCCCAAAAGAAGCCTTAATTTATTCGCTCAAAGCTTTACCTGCCACAGCTTAGCTTCTACTCCTTCAACAGAGGCGGCACCTTTTTTTATCTCTTCAGCCAACTTCTCAACATGCCCGTACATGGAGTAGTACCTGTACAGGTATTAAATATAAATTAAAAAAAGGAGTGATTGTAAATTTTAAATTTTTTTACCTCATCTATTACTTTCCCTTAATTAAAAAAGTGATTTTAACCGAGGGACCATTTGAAATAATTTGTAAAGTCAAGAGCCTAGATTAAAGAAATGTGATACATTAAGACTAAATTAACAGTATACGAATAGTCGGGGAACTTTTTTGATTTTTAATCTAGCAAGGATCAAGACATGTAAGGTCTCAGCATTGCAATGAAAGTGATATATTTGCACCACAAGACTTCTTCTTAGGTTGCCACATTAACCTTGGCATATGTCAATATTGTAAGCTCACACATAGCACAAGTGCACAACTATAATCAACCACATCATCTGGCTTAAAGATTTTCAAAATTGCATAAGCTCTTGTAGGAGGTTATTATATATTTGAAATATTTTAATTAAAACTAATTTAAATATAGGTATACAAAAAATTATGGGTGGGCAAAAAAACTAGAGGGTGGGAAAAAATTAGAAAAATTAAACAAATTAAGAAATATCAATAAGTTAAATTGAATTAAATTTGGCTTAATTTTGAAAATTTCATAAATCAACAGGTTTGGCCGAGATTTGGGATTTTAGGGAATTAAATAAAATTATGCAAAAGCTTTACATTCTCAAAGACCAAGATTGATTGTTGTAGCATTTGACTGCCTAGGTCAAGGAAGCCACAAAAGGCAGTCAAGCAATAGACTATGTTCAGCCTGTAGATTAATAAAAAGTAGATTATGAAAGCCAATGACTGGGCACTAGAAGAAAGAAGGTGCGGGTAGCTATCAAGGCATACTTCTAGAAGTTTATAATGAATATGACATGTGAACTACTAGAATTATAATGAATTGACTAAAGCTTCGTTTGGGACAGCTTTCGCACTGCTTTCAAATACTGCTTTCTAGTACAAAATTTTCTAATTCAAGAAATTTTTGTTCTAGAAAGTTGTTTAGAAAGCAACAAAAAAACTGTCCCAAACGAAGCCTAAGTTGCATCAAAGAAAAAGTATAGAATCTGCAAATCTTTTCAAAAGCACTTCAAATTATGCAGATCAATCAGGTTAATGGGGACCATGATGACAACAAAACCTACAAGCAAGACAGCAGTTTCAAAATTATCTAGTTCTAATAATACCACTTATCTCTCTTCTCCACTTATTCTTTCTAGCTCCATTTGCAAAATTGCAAAACAAATATTTTCAAGAAAAGCTACGCCACTTTCACTTACCAATTAGCAAATACATATGCATCCAGCTAGAGGCAATATTTTATTTATTCATATTCTCATCATAAACAAGAAATAAAGTTCCATAAGCTTCACAACTGTCAGCTGTAGAAATTCAACAAATAGAACTAAACAGTGGGGAAAAAAATCAAACCCTAATTAAAAATCACCGCTTTGTCACAATCAGTAATTTGGATAGCCGTTTGAGTGAAAATTTATCATTGAGCCAAGAGGGAGAACAATAAGAATTTTTTATTCCAGAAAACGACCAAAAACCCAAGTAGAAACCTGGTAAATGTCTACACAAGCATCATAAAGTCGATAAGAAAATGCCACAACTGAAATAAAAGGAAAAGACACTCAAGTAATCAACTCCTTGATCAAGTAGGTAGGTGATGCCAATGGGATTTTGTAGGTATAAATAGGACTATGGGAGTCTTAAACATGTAAAGAACTCAGCCAACTTTGTTCTAAACAATATTTTAATTAGATGGGTTATTCTTTCTACTAGTATGAGTCAACTACTTAATCAAATAAGAAACATGAAGATTTCAGGGCGAGGTTATCTTCTCGTATAAGCATGAAGCTTGCTTTCTTAAATTTGTCACTACTTTCCTTCTATTTTTTTTATTTTTTGGTCTAAATTTTATTAATACTCAAATTGATAAATTCTAATTTCCAATGAAAACATGGATTTCAATCGGTTGCATGACTTCTTGCTTCAACATTATTGAATTAATTTGCTTTTTTCAATTTCATAAAAAATAGGTAATGATTGCTAAGAAGTTAAAGATTAAGTGATGTAGTACAAATCAATTAAATTACCTCATAAAAATTAGATTTTTATAGACCAACAAAATGAAGTCATGGACTATAATGAAGCTGAATAAGATTAAGATTTAAGCCTTTTTAGGCCCACTACTATAAATGATGAATTTATCTTATTTTTTATTTGATTTCTTTCATTAGGTTCAATTATCTTTCTTGAATAGTAATAATTTTGAATTTAAATATTTACATGGGATTAGATTTGAACTAAAAAATTGAACATATCTATTTAAACTTATTTCCACAAACAAGGATTAATAGATTGATTAGATTGTATTATCAAATGAGATTTTGATGAATGAAAACTATTTTGTGAGGCAAATCAAGTGATCTCTTAAATAAAAATTGTGTACACAAATTGTTTCACATTGAGAATTTGATGTTTCTTTTCTCCCCTCAATAAATTTTAAAAACCAAGTGAAATTTCATCATTTATCTCTTTAATTTTTTTATCAATGAGCTTCAATTCCCTCCAATTATTTAAAGCCTTGAAGCTCTGACCCAATCTAAGAAATCCATCACACTTCTGCATTGTCGTTTGCAATATTTCTACAAACTCATATCATAACCTAATTCCACAGCAATTTCCTTCCGTAACTCACTTAACAGTGCTTCAAATTCCTGTAACAAAAAATACTATAAACAATAGCCATTACTCAAGCTTTTAAACCTTGTGTTCATTTAGACTTCTTCCTCTAGTTATTTCAGGTACTGCATGAACTCTTCTTTATTAGATGATCTAATAATGTCACTTTCTCTACCTTGAATATTTCATTGCTAGCAGGGTGAACTGATATAGAACATCTCATCTAGAAAAGACTATAATTTCACAGGCCAACCAAAAGTAGATTCAGAGAGCTAAACCAGACCAAGTTTCAAACCTTTCTAAGGTTCATTTTTTATTTATGTTAGAATTTTTTTTTATTTTACTATCATCGAATTTATTTTTTAAATGAAGTTAGTAAAGGCCTGACAATCATGCAAAAACTTATCATTCTAAAAGAACAAGAATGATTGTGTTGGACCGGGTTTACCGGTCCCGCCTGGACCCGTGCGGGTCTACAGGCGGAAGAGGGGGGGGGGGGGGGAATCCGGCTAGACCAAAGAGGGACCCCCCACTTAAGTGGGGGTGTTTTGGGGATGGGAGGATATTTTTGAAAGGGTATGAAGGGAGCCATTAGGGTTTAGTTTTGGGTATTATGAAAAGTGTATTCTCTTTCTAGTTTTCTTCCTCTAGTCTTCTCTTGTGCTTTTCTAGGGTTTTCTTGTGGGAGATCTTGTCCTTCTCGAAGTGGACAAACTTATCTTGTTTTCTCTTGGCTTGCTAATGCAGAAGACTTTAGCTAGCAGAAGGAGTGAAAAGCTCTCTCCACGATACTATGGGCCTTTCGAGATCGAAAGGAAAATTGGGATGGTGGCCTACCATCTCAAGTTACCTCCTCATTCCTCCATCCACCCTGTATTCCACGCATCGCTATTGAAGAAGAGCATAGGGGATCATACTGTGGCCATTCCTACTATACCCCAGAGCCTCACAGAAGATATGCAATTCTTACTAGAGCCACTACATGTGAAGGAAGTGAGGAAGAATGATCAAGGCAAAAGGGAGATTCTCATCGAGTGGAAGGACTTACCGACACATGAGGCCACTTGGGAGATATACGAAACCATGCAAGCACAGTTTCCAGACTTCAACCTTGAGGACAAGGTTGATCTTCTAGAGGGCGATATTGTTGGACCGGGTTTACCGGTCCCGCCTGGACCCGTGCGGGTCTACAGGCAGAAGAGGGGGGGGGGGATCCGGCTGGACCAAAGAGGGACCCCCCACTTAAGTGGGGGTATTTTGGGGATGGGAGGATATTTTTGAAAGGGTATGAAGGGAGCCATTAGGGTTTAGTTTTGGGTATTATGAAAAGTGTATTCTCTTTCTAGTTTTCTTCCTCTAGTCTTCTCTTGTGCTTTTCTAGGGTTTTCTTGTGGAAGATCTTGTCCTTCTCGAAGTGGACAAACTTATCTTGTTTTCTCTTTGCTTGCTAATGCAAAGGTTCTCATTTTTCTTCTCTACCCTTTTGTGATTGTTTTCTCATTTGGTTTTGGTGGAGAAATTTCACTCTTTTGAAGGGAAATTAGGGCAAACCCTAATTTGTGAAACCTAAGACGTACCAGATTGTTGTATTGTTCAGCTGCATCAAGCAAGAAAGCAACAAGAGAGTCAAAGCAATATTATCTGTTTAGCCTGTAGATTAATAAAAGTATATTAAGAGAGCCAGAAGGCTGGGCCCTGGAAGCAAAAATTCACAGGGAAGGTATCAATTTGCCTCCTTTCCAAAAGCTTAATTATGGCATATCATATAAAGCAGCTAATATTATACTTTATTGACTAAGGTGTAAGATCAGATCAAAATTACATATTTTGTTAGGAGGTGGGAATTTTTCTATTTAAAGATCAACATCAACTTTCTGGTTCCAGATTAACATCAAAGAGAATTGACTGACAAACAATTCAAGAGAGAGAGAGAGAGAGAGAGAGAGAGAGAGAGAGAGAGAGAGAGAAACTTTTTCAAAAGAACATAATGCTCATCATCCAATTTGTAAAAGAACATCCAGAAGCACCTCATGTCACCGAACAACCACGTTAATGGGTACCATGATGAGAACCATACCCACTAGCAAGACAACAACCCCAAAAAAATCCAGTTCTAATAGCATAGCTTTCCTCTGTTAATGACACACCAGCAAGACTTCGTCCTGAGCCCCAAAATAATATTTAAATTTGCAGGTTAATTTGAGAATTTTATTATACTTTCGGCAGCCCTAGGTTTTTCATTATAAGAGGAAGGCATGATCTTTATGCCATATAATTAGGATTATCATTCTCCACAATCAAATACTAGTTAAATCTGCAACAATAACAATATGAACTAGTCATCCATTCAGTGAACCTATATAAATTTCTTGTGTGTTTCTGTTCATTGATCTTCTTTACTACTTTCTATTATTTTCGCTCTTGGTCATTGAATTAGGTTCTCCTATTTCCAATCGTTTCTATTCGCTATTTCGTCTTTCAAACTCCATTAGTCAAACTAAAAAACACAATTCAAGAGAACCAACAGCACAAACCTACGCCATCTTTCATGAACAAATACATATAATAGCACCCTGCGAAAGAGTAATACTTGATCTCCTATTCACAACCTTATTATAATCAGGAAATAAAATTCCAGAACTTCACAATCATCGGCTGTCCCAATTCAACTACTAGACCTAATCCGCGGGAAAACATCAAAATAGTTCTAAAAGTCAGAACTTTTTTTCAAATTCATGAATCTTCATGCCGCATTGAGCTAAAAACAAAGATAAAAACGACCGGGTAAAAGAAAGAATGACTATCAGAATGCCACAGAAAGGGAGAATCAATACTGCTTACACTATATACACCTTTGTCGCCATTGATTGATATCGATGATCGCGTGGCTGTCTCCAAGTAGCGATTTCAGTGAAGAAGAAAAGCAGAGGAGAACGAGGGACGTACTCGTAGGAGGGGAGGAGCCCGGCCCCGCCCGGCATTTATAGAGAAAAATAAAAATGTAAGCTTTGAGATTGCTATTTGCTCTGAGATTCGTGACGATGTCTTAATCGTCCCATTAGTTGCACATGCCGTAAAAACTGTCTAATTCATTAAAAGAATTGTTAGCTTCGCTAAAAAAGAATACATTATAGAAAGAATGTTGTATGAAATAATATAATATATTTAAAATATTTTAGAATTGTTCAAATGAGTGAAAAATAAATATATGATTTTTTTTTTTTGCCTTTAAGTTAATTCAATGTAAAGTTCAAAGATATGGGTGACCAGTTATCAGTGCCGGAGTCAAAAAATTTATTGAGGAGCCTAAATTAATTATTTTAAAATTTTCCATGACTTTTTTACGTTTAGGGTTTAGGGCCATCATAGATAGTTTTAAAAAAAATCAATTAGTATTTGATGCAAGATTTTCAACATTTAATTCTAATTTTTTTAGTAAATCTACATCCACCCGAATGTATTTTTTTTGTTTCATTTTCATATTTATTGTTATTCTTATCCATAGTATTTGATGCTTTTGAATTCGATGATTGCTTGAAATATCTTTTCATTGATATTTAAACTCGTACTCAAACTTGTCCTAAGTGTAGATATCTATTGTTTAGATATAAATTTGATGAATTCAAATATATTACTCTAAACTCCTTGTACTCAAACATGCTTGCAGACGCGGAGGTAAGGTTTTTAAATGATTCCCAAAACATATGACTCTAACTTGTTGCATTTCAAATGATGCCTCTGATTTGAAATTGATTAAAAAATCTTGATGTATGAAAATCTTGTTGGAAGCACTACGGCGCTATGTTGGCGAGTGTGGTGAGTGTGGTGGTGCTTGGCTCTATGTATTGTGGTTTTGGCTTATTGAAGATAATGACATTAGAAAACTGGGTGCTACGGTGAAACTCTCTAGTCTAAAAGACTTTCAGTGAGCACTAAACCAAAGATGCCTCCGAAATCGTATTTTGATCTCTCAATAACCCTAAAAACATTCTACATTGAAGTCCTCTATCTATCCTAAGAATTCTACTTCATTGATTGCCTCCACTTTAAATCCTAGCAAAAGTGAAAGAAAAAAAAGAAGCAAGGAAGGTTGCTTCCTTCTCAAGGGTGTCTCTTTGGCAATTATAAGCCAAAGATCTCTCTTGCATGTGATGGGCAACCCAACAACAATCATGGCTCCTCTTTTCCCTTCTGTTTTTTTGGCTTTGTGATCCAATCATAAAGAGCTACATAGATCCCTTAGTAGTCAACAACTCTTAAAAATAATCAATTGGTATTATATTGTATTTTATTTTTATTTTGTTCTTAGAAAGAATTGAAGTATTAATTTTCTTTAATTTTAATAATTTTATCAATTTCAAGAAACTAAACTATAATTTATAAGAGATTTAGTCACAATATATTATTTATATGACCCCAAATAATACTTATTTTATGGAAAGTCTCAGTGCAAATCCAACGACGACGTTGAAATCAATCCTGATTTATTTTGCATCAGAATATTCTAATATATTTTTTTTAAATACCTTGCAAGATATCAAGAATATAAAATAAATTATAAATTCATGTAATATAATTGAATTATTGAAATTAAATAAGTTATTTAGAATGAAAATTATGATAGTATTAAATTAGAGTTTCAAAATTAAAATAATAACACAATGTTTTTCAATTTTGTAAGAGGCCCAACTCAATAACCATAATAATATTTGATTGATCATGAAATTAAATAATGAATAATTAAAGAAAATTACGTAATTAGGACTAATTTACCAATAAATTTAAAATTTTATTGGGTCCTAAATGGAACAAAATCTAATAGAACTTTGAAAATCACTGCAGAGTTTCAGCAAAATTTTGTACAATTTCAGAATTTCTACTGAAAAACAAAAAAGAAAAAAATAAATAAATTGATTCAATGGAATCCAATTTGAAATTAAGTTTGTGGTTTTTATCATTTTACAATTCGTACTTATTTATAAGATTTTAAAAAAATTTATTAATGCTTTAAAATTAATTAATCATAAATAATTATTTAAGATTTAATGAATAATGATTATTTACATAAATTTTAGTATTTTTCTTGTGAATTTTAATAGAGAGAGAGAGAGAGAGGTGCAGAGCATTAAAATTTAAAGAAACTAAAAACCTCAACAAAATAAACAGAACAGAATTCAAAAACTTGTTGAGAGGGATTAAATACAAGGGCTCACAAAAAATCCGAAATTCAATTCTGACGATACTAATCGTACATTATGATTCAAAATCGTACAATACGATTAGTTCATATGACCCTATTAGTATTGTACAAATGCATGCTTTTACTTTATGGTCATTTGAATTGCTTCAGGTAAAGATATTACCTAAGGGCGTCTCCAACGCAGAACTCTATTTTTCACGGCAAAATACCGCAAAACCCCAAAATGTCGTGGTGCTGCTCCAATCGAACGTCATTTTTGTGCTTCTGCGAAGGTAACAATCCTTCTCCCTTTCGCGCGTTTTTCCGATTGAGAGAATAAAATAGCGTGGGTGAACAGTACGACGTCAATATTGGCATCGCACTGTTGACGTCGCACTGTTCACCCGCAAGTAAATGACGGAAGATTTGGCGTTCGACTGGAGCGACCGAACGACGTCAAACGCTCATTTGGCGTTCGGTTGGAGATGCTCTAACTGTTGAAGTAAAATAAACAAATTTCTAATTTTCATATGATATTATAGGCTGAGACAAAACAATTACTCCAAAGAGGCAAAAATAATAAAAAGAATTTAAATCAAATTATTTAATAAAATTTAAATTATGTAAGTATGCAGAAAAGTGCAATTAAAAATTGAATTTTCCAAATCAACCTTCTGTTTATGTGCCATTACACATCACTTATATAAAAGAAAAATATATAAATTTCAAACAAATTATAAAAATGTCAGTCGAGTGTGTAGATTGGGATCGGCTTGGCCGAACGAAGGTGTTGGGTTCTCTGACAGTTAGAGGTCAACATATTCCAATCAAAATCTTCCTAAGAATGAGCTTAAAATTTTTTGCATGTAATACATAAATAATTTACTCATTTTACAGCATTTTTAAGATATTTTAAATCCATTCTGTGGACAATTAGATCATATTATCATGATATAAAAATTTTCATAAAAAATTTATAAGTTTCAAAAGTGCTCGAATGGGTAACGTAATGGTTGAATAAAATTTTGAGAATTCTAATTAGCAGAACTCAAAAACTCATCATCATTAAAAAAATAATAAAAATCAAGAAATTTATAATTGTATATCATATAGTACAAAAAAACCACCAAATTTGAATTTTCCTTCAAATTAGATGGACTCAATTAGGGGTGTAAACGAGTCGAGTTTTGACACTACCAAGTTTAGCTCGTCAGTCGGAAAGCGAGCTCGAACTTGAGCTCAAGCTCAAATAGAGCTCGAACTCGAGCTCGTCCCACTAAAAACGAGCTTGAGCCGGCTCACGAGCCTCTGCGGACGTCTGGGTCGTCGAGCCTGAGCGAGCCGTTCGCCTCCGCCTCTGTCTCCATTTGCGTCTTTTGCCTCTGTCTCCGTCAACCTCTGCCTCTGCCTTCGTTCGTGTCGTCCGCCTCTGCCTTAGTCCACCTTCACCTCCGTAAACGAGCACATCGGTCGCCCGTGATTTCCCGCTCAGGTTTTACAGCCCCAATTTCCCGCTCACGGAATTCTCCGCCAGCAGAAATTTCCGGCTGCGGAATTCAGCCTCCGCTCGCAAACCGCTCAATGAGCTCGTGAATCGATTGATGTGTAACTCAAGCTCGACTCGCGAGCTAAATAAATTTGACTCGTCGAGCCTATTAACAAGTTGAGCCCGAATGGACTTGACTTGGTTATTAGATGGACTCGGCACATCAATGAAAATGTCCATCTGGTCAAAGCCAGGCTTTTTATAAAAGAAATGAAAATATGGAGTTTTTTAGTGTATAATAGCCATTTGGTTATTAAAATATTCAGTAAAAACATAAAGCAGAAGCAGGAACCTTTAAACAAATTCAAGTTTGACTTGGCCTCTGCAATGGCTTCCAAGGGAAGAAATCAGGAAGCCATCAAGCAGTTAAAGCTTAAAGCCAGAAGATGAGAGGAGACTTCATTCGCAAGTAAGGCAAGAGGATAAAGACGCCATGGGGAGAAGTGAGGATAGGATCAGTTGCTTACCTGATTCTGTTCTTCAGAGCATCCTGGCCATGATGCCTCTGAAATCAGCAATCAGAACTGATGTGCTCTCTCAGAAATGGCGAAATCTATGGAAATACTCTCTCTCCACAGCTACAAATCTGGATTTCGGTGAGGACTTTGCACATAATCTATCTGCAAAAGAGTTTGTAGAAACTGTCAATCGATATCTATTAATGAATGACAGTAAAAAGCTGGAGACTTTCCATCTTTTCTTCTGCCCCTTTGATTTGTTTGTATCTGATATAGAGCGGTGGATCAGATTTGCAACAGGTAAAGGCGTTAGATATCTTGATATAGACTTATCCCAAGGATTTAGAAACCCAGTAGATGGTGAATTTACTGATAGTAGAGTCCCGTTTGAGCTGCCTTCTTCTCTATTTGATTGTGATTCATTGATTGAATTGAGCTTAAGTCGCTGCATTCTAATCAGTCCTTTGAATCTGAGAAATTTTGGTGGCTTGCAATCTCTCTCGATCAGTCATTCCAACATCGATACAGAGATGCTCCAAAGCATTCTCACTGAGTGCTCTCTTCTCGAGATCTTGAGTCTAAGGAGCTGTCAACATCTTGCTGTCATTAACATTACGGTTCCAGATCTCAAACTGAAGAGGTTGACCATTGGAGATTGCTTCATATCTGATTTGTTGGAGATAGATGCTCCAAAGCTTCAATCTTTTCACTATTTTGGACGATTATGCTCTGAAACCAACTTCACAAACATCTCATCATTGGAAGATGCTTCAATTTATTCGATTGGGAGAAATTCCGAGCTTGATTACACATATTTATTAACAGATCTTTCACATATTCAGATACTCACCTTATGCACAGCAACTCTAGTGGTACAAACTCTTAGCAGAAAGCTCCCCGTTCTCTTAATCATGGCTTGTTAGTTCTACCTTACTAACCTATATCTTTGGTACTATGCCAGCATCTGCATCAAAATGAAGAAAGCTTTGATGATGACTTAATCGAACTACAAAACCTCCAAGAATTACAGTTTCTCATGACATCAATGAGCGACGGGTATCTCACCTGCTTCTACACATTCTTTTCTATCTGTTCCTCTCCATTCCTTGAAAAGCTTTTCATCCGAGTAAGTTCTTTAATTTCCTGATTAATTCAATTCTGTCTTGCATTAATTTAGCTCCAATAACTTAGCAATTGCTTCTGGAAGCAGCTACCAATACACGTTGAAGATCGAAATGAGGAGAAGTATGGGGTGAGCGTGAGGCTGAATCCAATTGGTCTGGATAATTTTACCTTTGACCATCTGAAAGTGATCAAGGTGACAAATTTCAAAGGAAGCACTAATGAAATGAGAATGGTGAGCTTCCTCCTACAGAAAGCTGCAGTTTTGGAAACTCTGGTTTTAGTTCTTCCCTTTGTTAAGGTGGAGAATGGTAAAGAAAGACTGGTTTTGAGGATTCTGAGAGGGCAAGTTTTGCTGCTTCAAAAAGCAGCTCCAAGCGCTCAGATTATTCTCCATGAATTTGGAGAAGATGATGGCTTTAATCCAACGCATGTGGAGATTTATAATGATTATAGCTGCTTGCCGAGTATACCTTCCATGGTTGCTGGAGAGAAGATCAGTCAAAACTGTAATTTTTAATTGAAATTTGAAAGAATGGATTTTTTGTTTTGGGTTCATGTGGAAACAATACTTGTGCTTATAAACCTCTGCCATGGCAGCTATATATTGATTCACCGCTAAATCAAAAGATGGGATTTTGGGGTGGATTGGGTATGCACACTTACCTGTAAAGATCATTTTCGATCAAAAGAGGTGTTTTTAATACGAAAAACACCTCCCGTCGCCGTTACTTCCGATCCAACAAAAGAAAGGCGAGCCGTTACAAAGGATTTGTGGTGTAGGAACCGGAACTACCTGCAAAGATCAAAGAAAACCGGAGAAAAGAATAGGAAACGAAGAAGAACCAGAGAGGTAGAAGAGAGGAGAACAGGGAATGTAGGAGGAGAAGTATTCAGATTTTTGTATTCATGTATTCTACCTCTTTCCTTTGCTTCACTACAGATATACTAATACTAGATAAGACAAAAAGTTAGTTACTAAAGGTAGCTGAGCTGGCCACTAACTGGCAGCTGGTAGGACTAGAAATAGAAATAGTAATTATAGCTAAGAGTGGAGAAAGCAATACGCAGGGCACATAGCCCGCGGTCTTAGGATCGGCCACATCAATTTGCTTATCATAACTTGTGGCGAACTTACACTTTACTCATACTCCAACTCTAACAAGGCCTCCAATACCCTTGACAGAAAATTGACATCTGGTCATTGCTCTTTTCTTGGTCCCAATCTAATCTCGTCAAGTGTATAGAAACGAACAACCAATAGTAGCAAAATCTTCCACATAAATGAGTATAAAGCACTTGTGTTAGCCGCTTCGAACATTATTTGCCTTAGGACCAACTCCTCTTAGCTGATTTTTGAATCCCCTCAATCGCACCAACTACTCTTCTTTGTGATAACTGTTAACATACTGCACACGTGGCAGGACACAACTGGCCCTTTGTCTTGTAACGTTAGAATAGGACGTACTTTCTTGTACTAACTTCTCTATATATATTACATCTGTACATGGCTAAAGTAATGAAGTAAGAAATAAAACTTTTCTATCTCTACTCCTCTGTTTTTCCTTGTCCGTGAAACTTTTCCTTAGTCTCTGTTTCTTTCCTTTCAAGGAGTCTGTCAAGATTCCTCTGTTCAACATGGTATCAGAAGTTCCAGTCATCGTTCCAAGCAACTCCCATTGATCTTAACAATGGCAATGGATCCCGTCGACACCTCCTCCTCCTCCACTCAATCCGAAATACCCCATACCGGAGGTGTCTTCTCATCACCTCAAATACCCTCCTCTCTCAAATTCTTGATGAACAGCATCAAGAATGTCACCGCACAAACTCTCACCGCCGACAACTATCCAATCTGGCGCTCCCAAGTCCAGAAACTATTTCGAGCAAACGGATTCGAAGGCTTCTTGACATGTACCATAGTCTCTCCGCCGCCCACAATCCTAGCAACTTCAGGACAACAAATTCCGAATCCAGAATATCATACCTGGGCCTCTATAGACCAAAACCTCGCAACAGCACTTTACTCTGTCATCTCTCCGTCGATACTACCATACGTCCTCTCCATAGACCACTGTCACGAAATCTGGCACACTCTGGACGTCCGACTCCAATCGTCCACACGATCAAGAATAGCTCATCTCAAGGACGAGCTTCATTTCTTGTCTATGAAAGACAAGAACATGATGCAATACCTTCTTGATGTAAAATCAAAAGTAGATGTGTTAGCCGCAGCCGGAGCTCCAGTGGACATCGAAGACGTCATCCATTATACACTCAACGGCTTACCAAATACATATCAAGCCTTCAAAATTGCTATCCGCACAAACATGCGATCGGTAAGTCTTGACGAACTGTACACTCTTCTCTGCAGTGAAGAATTAAATTTGGCACACGAAACCATCAAAGATCTTCAAGCTCTCAATCTTGCGGGCAATCAAACGGCTCTCACGGCCGGTCGCGACAGAGGACGAGGTCGAGCATCTCAGAACAGGGGTAGACCCAACATGTCACGACCCGACTCGAGACAGATCCCGCCCGCACTGGGCCGCGACCAGCTTAACGAACAGACAGATCAGAATCTGGCTTTGGAATTTGCTTCGGAACTGATTCTTCCAAATATTTCAACTCAGAAAGCAGACAAACACAGAGCTACTATGAAACATCAAATGCAGCGGAACAAATCATCTATATTTTTCTTTTCCTCAAAAGAATCATCTACAAATACAGTACATGGCTGACAAAGAAAACAAAGAAGAAAAGCCATAACTGTACAAAAATTAATAAAAGTACAAAATACCTATAACTGATCTGATCAGACTCTGAACTCTAGTCCAAGACCTCCTTTCCTTTCCTAGAGCCTGAAAAACACACGCAGAAAATAAGGGTGAGCTCAACAGCTCAGCAAAGCAACAAACCTCCAATCATAACTTCTAGAATCCAAAACCAAACACTTCAAACCAAATCCGTATAGAAACCAGAACAGAATCAGACAGATATCAAAATCGTGCAGATCAGAACGAAACAGATCAAATCAGAACAGATACGGAACAGATCAAACATAACTGTACGGAAACAGAAGTCATATCAAATCAGATATCAGATAGTATTGTAATTAATAGCTAAATTCCCTGACACTGACAGAATCTCTACGGATTCTGGCCCCTTATGCCTCCCCTTGTGCTCACGGCACCAGAACAGATGTGCTTATAGCACCAGAACAGATTTCATCGGATCCGGAACAGAACAGATATCAGATTTCAGATTTAGCTCATTTCAGATTTCTCAGACACTAACTGAATCTCTTAGGATCCATGCCCCTTATAACTCCCTTTGTATAGCATATACATATAACAAAGTCGTTCAAATTGCACCGTTCTGAAAATTGAGAAAGGCGGAATGTGCCTTACCTTGCGTACAACACTTTACTGAACTGTCACGACGGTCGAAAACGGCCCGTCATCGCTTAAAAATCAACTTTTCCAATTTAGCTCTCGACCTTCTCTCTCCTCGGCTGATTTTAGATATTTATTTTGATTTTCTCTCTCTTCAAAATGACCTGATTTCAGCTTTAAAATACTCAGATCATCGTACCCATCGCACGATCGTCCTAGACGATCAGACCAATTTCACATCGTCTTGGGACCATTTCGCAGGACGATTCAGGACGATAATTAATTTTCAAAAACCCCTTGCTCTCTGACTTGTGCCATCCACTGATCGTCCCGGGACGATGCCTCGATCGTCCTGGACGATCAGACCAAAAACCCATCGTCCTGGCCAATTCCTTGGACGATCCGCAGGACGATAATTAATTCTGAAAAAGTCCTGCTCTCTGACTTTTGCACTGAATTGATCGGCCTGGGACGATGCCCCTATCAGCCTGGTCGATCCTGGGAGAAAAATCACCTGGAGCGATCTGGGCAATTTCTGGAGCAAATTTCAACTGATCGTCCCAGGACGATCCTTGAGCAGAAACAGAACTTCACACAACACACGTTCACAAAATACCTCCAATCCTTCTCGCGGATCCAAGCCAAATCGTCCATCCATAACATGCCAAATCTGCGGCAAGTTTGGACACTCCGCGATCAAGTGCTGGTATCGCCATGACGAAACCTATAACTCCGAACCAACTCCAGCATTATTCACTACCCCGACACAACCAAGCTCTTCCGAATGGTTTCTCGACAGTGGAGCATCATCGCATCTAACCTCCGATCCGAACACATTACAATAGTCCCAGACCTATACAGGATCCAGCCAAGTCATCCTCGGAAAAGGACATCAGCTACCAATCCACAACACCGGTAAAGGTCTTCTCCCAACACCAACAAGTAGCCTCAGCCTAAAGAATCTCAATCTTGTTCCCAATCTCTCGTTTAATCTCCTATCGGTACACAAGCTAACCCAAGACAATGATTGCATTATTATATTTTCTTCTCATGGCTATGAAATACAGGACCGGAAGACCCACCGCCGTCTTCTCACGGGTCCATCTATTAATGGTATATACCCGCTTCTTGGTCCAAATCGTCCAGCTGAACACATCAAACAACTAGCTCTCATCTCCATTCAACATGTACCGGATCTATGGCACAGACGTCTAGGCCATCCAGCCGCGCAAACACTAGCCGCCATTTCTAAACGCAACCGCCACATTCACGCCACTCATCTTGAATGCAGTTCTTGCCGAATGTCCAAGAGCCATAGACTACCTACATCAAGATCCACAACCGTGACAGCTACTCCGTTCTTACTCGTTCATTCGGACGTCTGGGGTCCGTTCCCCATTGTATCTAATAATGGTTTTCGATTTTACGTTTCTTTTATAAATGATTTCTCTAAGTACACTTGGATTTTTTCTATTATGTGCAAGTCTGAAGTTTTTACAAAATTTATAGAATTTGAAAAGTTCATTAATCGCCAATTTAACACCAAAATTCGGACTATTCGCACTAATAATGGAAAAGAATATCTAAACAGCAAATTTGCAATTCACTGTCGAACCACAGGTTTGACCCATCAAACTACATGCCCATACACACCAACGCAGAACGGTGTTGCAGAACGCAAACACCGCCACCTTATTGAAACCGCACGTACATTACTGCTTCAAGCATCTCTACCTCAACACTTCTGGGTCGACACCGTCCTCACAGCAAACCTGCTCATAAATTGTCTACCATCTCTCAATACGAAATTCAAATCCGCACACGAACTTCTTTTTGGCAAACAACCAGACTACAACTATTTTAGAGTCTTCGGATGCCTCTGCTATCCGTGGCTCAAACCCTATGCCACAAACAAACTATCTCCCGTCTCCCGACCATGCGTATTCATCGGGTACGCCACCTCTCAAAAAGGTTACCGATATCTTGATCCATCCACGAACACAATCTACACTTCATCCCACGTCATCTTCAATGAAGCCACATTTCCGTTCGCTCATAACATACCTCACCAAATACCCATCTCACCATCACATAAATTCATCCCACCTCTTCTACTCGTGCCAACAGCAAGCATACATTCATCAATTAACAACATTCTTAATTCCCCTACCTCACAGCATACCTCACAAAGCCAAACACCGAACACATCTCAGCACATCTCGGTCTCCCAACCAACCACGGACATTTAGACGGAAGAACTCACCCAGCACACCGTCTCAGAACAATCATCAACTACACCGCGTCATCACATGATCACCAGACTCAAAAGCG